ATGTGACTTTGTGACTGTGTTTTTGTGGTGTCTGTGTGACTTTGTGACTGTGTGACTGTGTCAGTGTTTCTCTGTGACCTTATGACTATGTGTCTGTGTGACTGTGTGATAATGTGTCAGTGTTTCCGTGCGACCTTATGACTCTGTGTTCTGTGTGAATGTGTGTCAGTGTGACTGTGTGTCTATGTGACCAGGTATCAGCATCTCCATGTGACCTTGTGATTGTGTAATGTTTCTGTATGACTGTGTGTTTGTGTGACTATGTGTCTGTGTTTCTGTGTGACCATGTGTCAGTGTGGCTGTGTCTATGTGATTATGTGTCAGTGTTTCCATGTGAACTTGTGACTGTGTTTCTGTGTGAATGTGTGTCTGTGACTGTTCCTATGTGACTATATGACTGTGTGACCACGTCATTGTCCCCATGTGACCTGTGACTATGTGGCTGTTTCTGTGTGACTGTTTGTGTGACTGTGTCTGTTTCTGCATGACCATAGGTCATTGTGACTGTGTGTCTATGTGATTGTGTGACTGCATGATCATGTATCAGTGTTCCCATGTGAACTTGTGACTGTATTTCTGTGTGAACATGTGTCAGTGTGACTATGACTGTGTTCCTGTGAGACCATGTGTCTGTGATTGTGTGTCTGTGTGACCATGTGTCAGTGTTTCCATGTGAACTTGTGATTGTTTCTGTGTGAACATGTGTAAGTGTGACTGTATCTGTGTCCTACCTGTCCAGCTGTGATAAGTGCATGCCATGCGTGTGTTTGCAGCTGCACACAGGTCCACAGGAGTCCAAGCAATATAAGACCTTCCTGAGAGTCAGGGGTTTACATTCCTAAGTGGATGACCCAGGGGAAGCCATGACTTTGGCTTCTGTGAAGAATTCAATTCTCTAAGCCTCGAGCTGAAGAGGTGACACCCAGCCAGGAGGAAAGGAACTGGGACCCTGTAGATGGCCTTCTGTGCTTTCTGACCTTGTTCACCCAAGGCAGAAAGAAGGTTGTTATGTTATGTGGTGATTGTAAACAGCTTGAAATTGCCATTCTCTTTAGGAGTCCCCACCCTTTTGGTTTGGGGAGCCCATCCCAGAAAAAAAAATGTGTTGGGGATGGGGCCCAGAGCTGTGAGAACAGTGAGTCCCTGTACCCCCACCTGTGCTGAGGGAAGGCTGCAATGCCTTGTCTGCCACTCCGGCAGGGTATGCATACCCTGGGGACAGCATTTTGGTTTTCAGGAAATTAGAGGCTTTGTTCAAAGCCAAGAAACAAAAATTGATGCCCAAATCCAGGAGCTGAAGAAAAGAGAATTCCAGGGCTGTGGTGCGGTTGTGTCTTTGTTGTGTGTTTTTCTTTTAGTGCTGCTGAAGCAATAACATGTAATGACCTGAGCGTCGCAGCCTTTCTGCTGCCAGCTGCCTCCAGCGCCTGGGAAGTTGGCTGACCTGAGGAGAAGCCAAGGGTGGCTAATGAGTCATTAACAGTCTTTATCAAATTAGGATTATAATCCATCTCAACATGCAGAGGAAAATGTTTCAAATTATCTACTTTCTTAATTGCAACTCAAAGATTTGGCAGGAAATTATCATGAGAGATAATGTCTGGAAATTGATGGATTGTGCTGATGTGTGTCTAAGCTTCCCTAACTCTAATGGAGAATTCACATACACACACACACACACACACACACACACACACACACGCTTATACTGACATTTTGTATATACAAACACCCCTGCTATCCATACTGGTTGAAGTTACAACCCAGGCAGACACACACACACACACAGGCACACGCAGATTATGTCTGCATAGCAGATCAAAAAATTCACATTTATTAGTTAATTTGAATAGGCTGAGATTGTTACCAGATGCTGATAGACTTCAGCGATTTGGAAGGAGAAGATAAGATATAAAAGAAACACTTAGTCCTTGCCTTCATGAAGTTCAAAAGCTGCTTGAACTAATGCACACATATTTGAAATTTAAGAACATGTACAGAGCAACATACAAATGTATAGTATTACGGTGGGAACGCGAACACATAAGCTCAGGGGATACAGGACCTGAGTGTCCTGAACTGAGTAGTTTCTGGAGTGGATGAGTTTTGATTTTGGGTGTGGACATTATCACTGGGCATTGTGAAGGTAGCCAGTGGGGATAAAGGCAGAAAGAGACGTACTGAGTCTGTCAAAAGGACCACGTAGCCAAGCAGTGACACAATACACATGCACAATCTTGGGAGATGGGTGAGGCTGGAAGACAAACGTTGATTTGTGTTGAGAATCCAAGCGGACTCTTACTTGACTATTAAATCGGGCAAGATTTGAACTTTACCCTTTCCATGACCCTCCTACTAGGCCTCAGTTTCTCTGCTGTAAAATGCAGATGTGATCTGAAGGCAGAGTTAGGCTTTTCCACATCTCTCATGGCCCCTGAAAACCTTTAAGATGTCTGTGAATTCAGGGACTGTGATTTATCAATCTTCATAGCCCAATGCCTTCTATGTGCCTGGACAGCCTAGATGCTGAATGGGAACCAATGAGCTGGTAAGCTTCTTAGAGGCTATCAGTGTATGAATGCTGAATGAGTGAATCAGCGAATAAATGAATGGATGAGGGGGCAAGGAAGTTTATGCTTTATGAGGGAGCAATTCAAATGGTGGTTTGGATTGTGGGTTCTGGTGGCAGCCTCTCTGAGTTCACGCCTGGCGACAGGTACTTTCACTTACCTAAGCCTCATAGGGGTGCTGCAGAGATCTGATGAACCATGCATGTTCAGCACTCAGCATGGAGTCTGGCATCCAGCAAATAAGCGATACATATTAGCTAGTGTTATCGCTGTTGCTTTGTTTTGTTCTTCCTTGCTAAGTAAACTGTGGTCCCTATGCTAGGTAAGCTGGGGGTTTCTTGCCCCCTCATTTGGTCACTCTTCTTCACTGTCCGCTTCAAGTGCAATAAGAGGGGACCACCTTCTGCAGGGCATGTGGCCTTCACCCCCTCCCAGGGTTGTTGGTTGTTTCTCTGAGCCCTGCAGTCTGGCTGCCATGGGGTCCAGCTGCCAGAATGAAGTTGGGAGCCCAGCCATGTAAAATCCTCAGCTCAGGAGGGCTTAGAGGTTGGATACAGCATCAAAGGCAGCAAATGCTGATGGGGTTCCTCCCGGGGGACGGGAGAAGAGGGTCCACTGGGTAAGCAGAAGGATGCAGGCGGTTCTGTGTGAGGCAGTGGTGAGAATGGAGTTGGGGTGGAGGGAAAGGATGATGGCAGGGGAGTGACAGTTGTGATGGCAAGGAGGGTGCTAAAAAGGAGACAGGAGACAAGGGTCTCAGGGATGGATCCTCCAGTGCAGATGGAAGAGGTGGTTTTTTTGGGGATAATAGAGCTTTCAAATCTTCATGTAACCCTGGGCAGGGGTTGGGGGTGGGGAGTTCTTAGCCACCTCTGCAGTCTGAGGGAAGCCTGAATAGCCTAATGATCTCCTTTCACACTGGTCCTCTGTGGGGTCGGCAGGAGCAGAAGAGATGGAAGAGCTGGTGAGCTGGAGTGATACCTGATAAATAATAAAGGTTTCAGTATCCAAACATAGCTTCTACCAGAACAGAAACGAAGCCCAGAAGGGAGGCTTCAGTAAATGGAATGCAAGTCACATAGTAATTTTGAATTTGTTAGTGGCCACACTGAAAAAGTAAAAGAAATGATGTACACGCACGGCACATCCAAGTTGGGACTGGCCACCTTTCAAGCGCCCAGGGCCTGCATGTGGCTAGTGGCTGCTGTAGTGGACAGCACAGGTTTAAATCCTTCTTTCTCAAATTTTTTTGGCCAAACTTTTGGGATGGCATTTCCCAGAAATGGCTCTTTTTGGAAATCATAACATTCTCTCTTCTCTTCCTAAATATAGTCTAAATATTCTCTCTTCCAATCTCTCTCTTTCTCAGTTCTTTCAAGCTGGCTGTGATCCTTCCCACCCCTTGCTAGAACCTAGAAAGAACTTTGAAATTACTCAGAAATCTTCTTTTTCTTTTCCTGCCACCCACAGATCCTCCTGTCTGGAGCTAAGGCCAGGACAGCTCCCACCTGAGACCTGGTGTGTGCGTGTGTGTGTGTGTGTGTGTGTGTGTGTGTGTGTGTGTAGAGTTGGGGTAGGGTGGGGAGGTGCTTGGGATAAGTAAGAGATGGGGAAGAGACAGTGTTTGAAAAAACTTCCCCAAAGTGTATCAGTGCCATAATGAAGATGGATTTTTCAAAAGCTTTGGGGATTATATTGCTCCTATGTTAGAGGAGCTGGTTCAAGGCGTGACACAATTAATTGCCTATCGTGTGCCCAGAGGACAGGCTTCATGCCCCTGCTTCAGAGGGTAGGAGTGGGATGAGGAGCTGAGAGGCTTTCTCAGGGTCAAAAAGAAAATTCAGAAATAGGGAAGGGGCCTGGACATTCCAGCTTCTAGCTCAGAGCAAAATCCTGGACCCCCAACTCCCTTTTGGAGGATTTTTAGCATCTGAGATTTTATACCTCTCAGGTCTCCCCAGTCTGCTTACCCTTTTCTTCAAGGGATGCGCCCTTCATGCATCATTTTGTTAGGAACAGAGTCTTCCTCACTTGGCCCTGGCTCCTCCCACCCTAGCCCCACCTGGATCCAGGGTCAGGAAGGAGGCCTTAGGTAGAGAGAAGGGTCCTCCTGCCCTCATTTCCTGGCTCCCATTATCCGTGTTGCAGCCCTCAGGGCCTGTGGCAGCTTTCTCAGTAAACAATATCTTCCTTCCTCAGGCCAATTAAATAAGCACTATAATAAAGGCAAAGGCAAAGGCAAAGCAAAGCTCTGGGCAGCCCTGGGTAAAGGGCTATTAAACCTAATGCTGCCATTCATTTATTGAAGAGCCTCCCATGTGCCAGGGACTGTGCTAAGCTTGTTACATTTGTGATTTTATTTAATCCCCATGGTCTCATGAGTTGGATTCTATTATCATCCTCATTTTGCAAACACAGAAACTAAGACTTGGCACTTGCCAGTAACGTCCCAGATAGCTGGCCATTTCATTACAGGGTGGAGATCTGAGCCAAGTCCTGGTGATTCCAGAGCTGGTGTTCTCTTTTGGGGGATCCAAGGGCGCTTTGAAGAGAGGTGATGTTTCAGTGAAAGCTTAAAAGCAGATAGGATTCGGAAGGTAGGGAAAAGGGGAATGAAAACCCAAGGCTGAAGGAAGAGCGTGAGTGACGACGGGAAAGGCCAAGAGTCCAGAATGTGTTCTGGGACCCATGAGGTGAGCAGGAGTGCTGGCTGGAATGGAAGTTCCCAAACCTCACAACTGCAGTGGCTTTTAAAATATGGACTCCTGGGCCTTTCTCCAGACTGATTTCTCTAGAGGTGGAACCTGGAACCCTGAATTCTGAAGTTCCCCAGGAATTGGTGGGGGGTGGTTCTGATGTAGCAGGAACCACTGGAAATCACTAGAAGGTAGAGTTGGGGAGGTGTAGGCAAGAATGTAGATTAGCCTGAAAGGGAATCAGGGCCAGACGAGGAGCACACTTCTTTTTGTTATAAGGCCCAGTAACTTTTTAGGCTAAATCTTATAAGCAATGGAAAGCTACTGATGATTTTCAAGGGAAACCATGGAGTTGATCCAACCTTTGTTTTAGGAAGAACATTCTTGTGTCAGTGTGTAGGAGGGATTGGAGGTATCGGAGGCATTTAGACCAGTTAGAAAATTATCAGAATATTCCAGGTGACCAGTGATAAGTCTGTCAACCAGGCCTGGAACAATGATGGAGAAACACGTTTCATTCAGTTCAATCCAACAAGCGTTTCTTTAATGTTTTCTGGATTGGGTACTGTACCAGGTTTTAGGGATCCTAAGATGAAATAAGATATTGTCCCCATCCTCAGGGAACTCGCAATATATCAATATTCATTAAAAATAATTAAGTTTGGAGGTTGTAGTGAGCTAACTCCACTGCACTCCAGCCTGCGCAACAGAACAAGATTCTGTCTCAAAAAAAAAAAAAAAAAAAAAATTAAGCTGAGAATGAAGGGAACTGGTAGCTGGGTGGTATTATGGACTGAATTGTGCCCGCCACCCAAATTCATATGTTGAAGCCCTAACCCCCAATGTGACTGTATGTGAAGATAGGGCCTTCAGGGAGGTTAAACGAGGTCCTAAGCATAGGCCCTAATCCAACAGGACTGGTGTCCTTACAAGATGAGGGAGAGCTCACCAGAGCTGTCTCTCTGCCTGTGTACACAGAGGAGGGGCCATGTGAGGACACAGTGAGAAGGTGCCATCTATAAGCCAGGAGCAGAAGCCTCTCCAGAAACCGACTCTGCTGGCACCTTGATCTTGGACTTCCAGCCTCCCTATCTGTAAGAAAATAAATGTCTCTTGTTGAATCCACCCAGTGTATGGCATTTTGTATGGCAGCTAGAACAAACTGATACAGACAGGTCTTATATTTTTATTCATAGTGTCACAGGCAGAGTTCAGTTGGGCCATTGATCACCTACATTGGAAGCTTGGAGGAGACAGTCTGGGCTGGTGTGGGCTGCTTATACGTAAGACAAAGTGCAGGTAGAGTGAGAAGAGGGCCCAGAACCAAACAGGAACTCCAACATTTAGGAGTGATGACTAAGATTTGTAGAAACTCCTATTTGGTTATAATGTCAATGTGTTAATAGCTTATACAATACAGCATGTGCATTCTTCTCCATCCTCTTCTTCATCCTCAAGGGATGGTGGGGAAGAAATTGTAGAGTATCTGTAGTGAATCCTTAATTTCTACTCTATCCCTACTCTCCTCACTGACAGAGCCAAAACTGATATGTGGAACTCTTGGAATTTGACGTATTGGCAACTCATTTGTTCATTAATTATTCACTAGCTTGTGTCTTCTGTTGATTCCTGTATTATTGCTACTTAATGTTTTACATACGGGTGCTTTGTCTTCTTCAACTAGAATGAACGCCTCTTGAGGACAGGAACCATAACCTGAGCCTCTTTGCTTCTGCTGTTTATTCTTAGTGCTAACACACAGCAAAGCTTCTGGTGGGTGCAGGGCAAATATTTGCTTTCAGTGCTTATAAAAAGGACGGTTATAGTTTGGATAATCATTTTTTAAGCTCTTGCAAGTGACAAAAATAGTCAAAGCAAGATATATTTACTTAAAACTGTGATCTGCAATTTAAAGCACCCAAAAGGTATTAATGAAAATCATAGTAAAGACTCCAAAAATTAATAGCTCATGGCAATGGATCTCCCATATCAGGAAAGTGTTGGGCACTGAACTAGATGTCAGAAAATGAGGGGTGTGACCAGTGTAAATGAGTGATGCAAGGCTGTTGCCTGCGGCCCTATTTATGGCTCACTGACATCTCTCTGATGGGTCGAATTCAGCCTGATTTTCCCCTCTGACTCTGCAGGCTGTAGGAACTCACTGGGAACCATGGGAAAGAGAGAAACGCCTCCCTCTAGGGGTCCTGGGCAGAGACAAATGGATCTCCCCTCCCCCTCCCTTATCTGAAGAGGGCTTCCCTCTGAGAGTTTATGGCAGCCTGACCTCCAGCCTCTGGGTTGGAGAATCTGGCCGCTTCTGTACCACATAAAAAGGGCAAGTGCATTCATTATTATTATATTATTATACAATGTATAATATATAATAGTGATTACGCTGTCAGCAGCCAGAGACTCTGACCGCAGATCAGAGGCTAGGGTGACATAAATCCATCTAGTGAAGTTTTTGGAGGTTCTATGTGAAGGTGAGAGGATTCTACTCTGTCTGTAATGGGGGCTACCACTGAAGAGTTTCTCCCACAAGGAATGTTGGAGTATGGATTTGAGGGGTACTGGGAGGATCTGGACAAGCAGTAGTGTGTGCATCTGGGATGTGTTGTAAGAAAGGTCTCAACTGCCTCCCTGAGCCCAGCAATGCTAACAGCTCTCATCTTTTGCCCATGATGGAGGCAGGTGAGCGGTGACCCAGAGGCCTGGGAAGAGCTGGGGGCAGCCTTCTACTCCTTGGGTCAAATTCTTTACTGAAAACCTGGTGGCTGGTTTCACTTTCTGCTTTCCCGCTTACACTGGTGTCTTTGTCTGGGCTTCATCCAGGCCCCCTGCCTGGCCTGGGGTCAGAGTATCATGGCTGGCAGACTGGCTATGGGGAGCAAGAAGCAAACTTCCAGGGGCAGAAGGGATTCTCTTGTCCCTTTATGCAGAGGACCATGTGCTAAGTGTGGAAGCAGGCTTGTATGCTCTAGTAGGTGGCTCTTAGTAGGACTGTATCTCCGTTGAGTGATCGCAGGCACTTGTGGGTCCACACATGCCTGCTTTGTCTTCCGCTGTAGGCGGCACAGGTAAGAGGCGGATTTCCTCCCTGATGTAGATGAAGCCACCGCAGCAGGCCTAGGCTGAAGCAGCCCAGCTGGTTTCTCCCTTTATATGACTGCACCCCAGCCCCCAGAACTCTGGGAACTCACTGAGTTTCTTGAGGACTTTTTATTAGAATGGAAATAGCAGTGGCTTAGAAGCGGCTTGCCTGACATTTGCAAAGAGGTGCTTTACTGACAAAGCCTCTCCACTCTTTCCTCTCTCCCTCTGCCCCACCTTGAACCAGACACCCCGGGAAGCCCACAGCAGAAAAAGCTCTTGAGACCAGGAATAACTAACCCGAGTGTCATCTGAACACCTTTTCTGGGGCCAGGGTAATGAGAATTATTCAAATGCAATCATAAAAATGAGGCCAGCCAGGCAGGAAAGGGGGGAGGTGGAGTGCTGTGGAAGGAAGGATTTCTTGCCCGTTTTAAGTTTCATCATTTCTGGGGAGTTCTCTTGGGGTCCACAGAAAATCTCACCTCATCTCGGTCCCCTCAGCACCAGCAGTTGTCTTGGAATTCGGCCCCGCTTGTTCGCTAAAGGAGGACTTGCCTTGTGGGGAAGGAGGTTGCTCCTGAGTTCCTGGGGAGGGGGGTACCCCCGCGCTCCCCATCCGAGGCTCCCCGCGAGTGGAGCCGCTTCTCCAGGCTGCCCGCCTCCCCGCCGCAGGAGCAGGCCCGCGCCCGCCGCCCGAGAGCCTCCGGTAGAGGGAGACACTCCAGCGGCTCCTCCGACTTGGCAGCGGCCGGGCCGGGAGTGGGTGGGGGTGATGGGGGGTGGGGAGAAAGGGGGAGTGGGGAGAGGGGAGGTGTGTGAAGGGGGGGTCCGGGGGGCGGGTCCCTGTGCCGCTGACGTCCCGAGCAGTGCTGGGAAGTATAGGCTGTGTTGTCACGCCGGTGTCAGTCTGATGAAGATTGGCATCAGGTAAGCTGTCATTCATTTCCATGTCAGAGACGCTTTTGCAGGCGGCGGCGGCGGCGCGGCGGCGGCTGCTGCTGCGGGCGGCTGCCTCAGAGCGCGTGTGTTTTATTCCAGTCCCCAAGCCAGAGTATTATTCATTGCGACAGGGCAAGGAGGAGAGAGGGAGAGAGGGAGGCAGCAGGGAGGAGAGAGAGGGAGGCAGCAGGGAGGAGGGAGGCAGGGAGCAGCGAGGGACGGCGGGAGCGTGCAGAGAGAAACTGGGGAAGCGCCGGGAGAGCGCGGAGCGGAGCAGCGCGAGGGCGGCGAGGCCGGGCGCGGAGGCTGCGAGAGCCCCGCGGGCCGCCCGCTCCCCGGCCCGGCCAGCGCGCAACCCCGCCGCCGCCGCCGCCTCGCCGCGCTCGGGCCCCGTGGCCGGCCGCGCATTGTCCGCGGGTGCGAGGAGCTGGGCTGCGGACTCGGACCGCCGCGGGCCCAACCCCGTAGCGGGCGGGCGGGAAGCTGTGCGCCGGGAGCGCCCCGGGCCCCGAGAACAGGGAAGGGCACGCCGGCCGGAGCCCGGGTGCAGGAGGTTCCCGGCCGGGCGCTCCGCGGGGCGAGGCTGGGAACCGCGGGCCCGCTCCAGGTTCTCTTTCTCCCGGCTTCGGGCGTCCTTGGGGCCGGCGCTTACTCGGCGCCACCAGCCTGGAGCAGCTTCCGAGCGGCTGGAAGCGGGAGCGGCCCCAGACTGGGGCCGGGTGACCAGAGGAGTCCAGGAGCCGCGGCGGCGGCCGGCCGGGCCTGGGGAGGCAGGGCGAATGGGGTTTTGCAGGCGGATCAGTGGGGACAGGGGAACACCGGTGGGGTCCAGGAAGCCACGATCCGAGGGGCTACGCGCAGGGACCCTCACCCAGGGAGGAGCGAGAACGTGTAGTAGGGTCACTGCCTTTCTGTGATTGTTGGGGATCTTTGGTGAGGCGGGCGTAGGGGCCCGCGCGAGGTTTGGGGATCGGGAGCCCTTCTGGCTCGAGAACTAGAGGATGAGTTCGTAAAAGAGGGGACCGAAAGCGCTCAAGAGCAGAGAGCTGAGGGGGATGGGGCAGGGTCCCGAATCGGCCGCGCAAAGTTTGCATTTCTTTCGGGTTAGGTGACGCTGCTCTCCTGGCTCCCGATCCCCGGGACGAAACGAGCGAAACGGGCCGCCGTTTCCTGGGGCTCTTCACGCGGGAGCAGGGGGTTCCCGCGCGGTAGGGAGACTCGGGTTGGGAATTGAGGGGTAGGGGGTTGTGGATCGGCCCTGAATTAGGGCTGGGTTTAGGACCAGGCTAGAGTTTGGGTTATAGGATCCAGACTGTTTACAGAATCGGGATTGAAGGACCGATAAGTAGTTTACACGCTGGCCAGAGCAGAGGGCTGGAGGTCGGAGTTAGGGGCTAGAGAACGGGTGGCGTTTTTAGGATTTAGTAACAGAGTCACAGCTTTTTCTTGGGGTCCAGGCTATTGGAATTTGGGGAGGGTCACACGCGAGGTTCCTGGAACTCCGCGTGTGAAAAAGCGTTTAGGTAGGCGACGAAAGTAGTTGATCTGAGTCATGGCAGACGAGCCCCGAATTTCTGCTGCTTCTTCCCGAAAGTGTTTCTGGAGGAGGAGAGGACTTGGGCCACACAGGACCCGGTCCTAGGAGAGCAATTCCGGAAAGCGGACAGATCAGAGACCTTCTGGGCGAAGCCGCTGGGCACCCTCGTGGGGCGCGGAGTGGATCGGAGGACCCGACCCATGCGGCTCGGAGGACTCCGGGAGCCACTCGGGTCTGCGGGCGCAGCGCGGCGGGGCGGGAGCGGCGGCCCGCAGGGGCCTCGGCCTGCTATGAGGGTGGGGGCAGCGCCACTTTGGGCTGAGGAGTCTGGGCTGTGGCCCAGGGCAGGACCTGCTGGAACTCCAGTGCCATGATGGGAGCTGCTTCCTGTCCTTACCCCAGCCGGGCTGGGAAGCCCACAAATCCGGCCCTTGGCTCGCCCGGGGGAGGAGGAAGCTTGGGATGCCCTACTGTCATCTCTCCTGACCGGAGACTTCAGGATATTGGCTTTTCGGGTTTCAAATGCTCTATAACTGGTGGAAGCCAAAATCTTCGCATTTCAGGCAGATTAGACGATCCTCTCCGTCCCAAATCTGAGAAAATGATGTTCAAACATAACACGATGTATTTTCCAAAGCCCCTGCCCCTGCCCTTCCTGCTCTCTCTGCCTTTCTGGTCTTTCGAGGCCCCAGGACCTTGATGGAAGCGGGGAGGGAGGGTCCCGTTTCTGGTCTCATAAGCCCCTACTCAGGCTGCATCACCATAGCTTGGGCCTAGCTGGGGGTGTGGGGTGGGAAGGGGTCCGGACCAGGAGCGAGGTTATTATCTGGCCAACTAGAGAAAGTGTGTGTGTGTGTGGGGGGGGGGGGTTTTTGGGGGGGCGGGGAAGAAAATTTGAAATTTCCTCCTTGTAATATTGAACCCACCTTCCCAGCCCCCTGCACCCCTGCAGGGAGAGCCAGACAGCCCTTAGAGGACACAGAAGACGCACGACCCACGACCCACGAGTGGCCTCAGCGGCCCGGGGCGCGGCGACTGCTGCGGCGGAGCTCCAAGGCTGTTGTTTTGCTGGCTTGGAATTCGTGAGAGCTCTCTCCCGCCGATAGCCCGAGGGGGGAGGGAGCCGTGACCCCACGGAGACTCCCTGGTCACCGCCTCCCCTTTGTGAGCGGGAAAGGCATGAAAGCCAAGAGAAAGAGAGGCTGCTCCAAATAAGGGGCAGGGGGTTACTGGAGGGAGATGGGCCCGACCACCGCTCACAGTAAAATGCCTCGTGCAAATTGCACTGAAGTATACCCAACTTGAGACTGGCTGTTTTATGATCCTTTCTGGGAGTTTACTGCTCTCTGCTTTTAAGTCTATAGATTGCTTTAAGTTAATGAAAGTGCTGCTTTCAAAAGGGGCTTTTATTGTGCGGCAGTAGCAAATCCAGTACCACACTTTACTCTTCCAAAATGGGCCGTTTAAAAAGAACGAGCTTGTTGGAGTTCCCACATGGACAGAGCTTGGGGGAGGGCGCCATGTGACAATGAGAATTAATAAAAGTTAATGTCCAAGTGATTCTGAAAGACGAGTTCGCTTCTTTTCCAATCCAGTTTCATCTGTTTATTCTTGTGTTGCCTTTGGCCTTTCACTGAGTCTGCCTTTAAATGTTGCTTTGGTGTCTCCCCAGCAGCCCCTCCCAGTATTGCTTTAGGTAGGCCTGACCCTGTTCAATTAAACCCAAACTGGATTTCAGGATTTCAGCCCAGCTGCCAATTCAAACTGCAACTAAAATATTTACTCGGCACTGGGGGAGGGGCTTTGCCTCGCGTTTAGTAAGATAAATGTGTTTAAATGGCTGGGAACCTTGAGAAGGAACAAGGCAGGCTGTTTTTCAGTGCTTTTTGCTTTTTCAATCTATTTGGCACAAAAGGTGGGATGACAAGGTTTTTGACTAGGTCCTAACACAGAAACTGCAGTGGCCTCGGGCTGTGGCTTTGACCGCATGTCATAACCATTTAAACTGTGGTTAGTTGTTCAAAGCTCAAAGCTTCTCCAAGCTGGGTTTCATTAACTCTACACCAGTTGCCTGGAAGTTCGGTAGCAATAAATTGTATAAACACATTTGAAGTAAGTTAGTGATGAAATAAGGAGAATTACTGTCTTGTGAGTGGAGGATCCTGAATTCATGGAGTTCTAGCTTAACTGGAAACATACCTCCTCTCCCTTGGCCTTGAAGTTTATGGGTGCACCAGAGTGTGTGTTCAATTTCTTTCTGCCATGTCCATCTTCAACCTGGGCTGTAACTCATTAGAAACCAAGGCATGCCTAGAAAGCAAAAAGGCTGGGTTTTAAAGGGGTCTCTATTAGCCTGGTTTAGGAACCAAACCAAACCAATCGACCTGACTTCCTTACCTTCCGTGGATCCAATGCGCAACATAAACAGCAGCAGAGCAGGGGCAAATTAGATGTCTAAATGTTAGAGGCTTAATAATACTGCGTTGTTAGCAATTGAATTTGTTTTTATTAAAGAAACAACCAATAAAATTTATAGGCTTCCAACATGTTGCAAGATTTCCTTGCTATTTTTTTAGCTCCCTGCCCCCCCCCCACTTTCTGAAATTCTATCTCTAATCTCAGACTTTTGTTCCCGATTTATTTAATCTGGAGCACATTTTCTAAATTAGTTCGAGGAGGGTGAGAAAGGCTGTTATGAGTTTTCCTTTTTCCTACGCTGTGTGGCACAAGGCCTGCGATGCTGTAAGTTATATATAAACGTGTGATGCAATTGCTGGAGGTGACGGCATGTGAAGCCAAGTGTCTGGATCAAACAAAATGCAGATCCGAGTATGGAGAGGGTGAAAACGCTGCTGCAGAGGAAAAACTGAGGAAGTTATAATGGAAAATGAAATCATCATGAACCACCGTTAGCCTGAGTCTAGCCAACACACCATGTTTTGTATAAAACACTTCATGTGAGATCCGTGACTTATTGAAGATTGAATTATATCGAGAAGCAGAATTTAGAGGGAGGAGCTGCACGGGCTGGGTTCTATCCAGGCAGCATGGCCAGGATTGTTGCGATGGGGATCTGCTAATTTAATTAAACCTAATACCTGGTGGGAAAGGGAGGAAGGAGGGAGGGAAGTGGTCCGCAGATAATCAAGGTTGGCAGGTCAGCATGCTGAGCTAGTGTTTAGGCGGAAATTTAGGGACCTGGCCTCTTTCTACTCTATATTGCCTGGGCTGCATGACTCCAGTGGGCCATCTCGCCTCTGGGCCTT